AATTCCATACATCAAACACAGACTGCACCACACACCCATCACCACACCACATTGGCTAGTACCACAATGCAAACACAGCAATAGCTACTGTGCAGAAACAGGCAGGGGTTGATCTCTTATAGAGTTAGTGTGGAAAATATGTTAGTTACTAGTAACTGAAAACCTAGTAAAAACACACAAACACATTGCCCTGAGACATGGCTGTAGACTGCTATAGCTTCCAAAAAAAGCTATGACACATCACATTTTCATAGTCCCTTTCTAGATGCTCTACAGTCTATCTACAGACTATCAGTAACATTTCAACTACAGTTGAAGTCAGAAGTTCACATACACCTTAGCCAAATACATTTAAACTCAGTTTTTTACAATTCCTGACATTTAATCCTAGTAAAAATTACATGTCTTAGGTCAGTTAGGATCACTACTTTATTTTAAGAATGTGAAATGTCAGAATAATAGTAGAGAGAATGATTTATTTCAGCTTTTATTTCTTTCATCACATTCCCAGTGGGTCAGAAGTTTCATACACTCAATTAGTATTTGGTAGCATTGCCTTTAAAATGGTTTAACTTGGGTCAAACATTTTGGGTAGCCTTCCACAAGCTTCCCACAATAAGTTGAGTGAATTTTGGCCCATTCCTCCTGACAGAGCTGGTGTAACTGTGTCAGGTTTGTAGGCCTCCTTGCTCGCACACACTTTTTCAATTCTGCCCACACATTTTCTATAGGATTGAGGTCAAGGCTTTGTGATGGCCACTCCAATACCTTGACTTTGTTGTCCTTAAGACATTTTTCCACAACTTTGGAAGTATGCTTGGGGTCATTGTCCATTTGGAAGACCCATTTGCGACCAAGCTTTAACTTCCTGACTGAGGTCTTGAGATGTTGCTTCAATATATCCACATAATTTTCCTTCCTCATGATGCCATCTATTTTGTGAAGTGCACCAGTCCCTCCTGCAGCAAAGCACCCCCACATCATGATGCTGCCACCCCGTGCTTCACGGTTGGGATGATGTTCTTCGGCTAGCAAGCAACCCCCTTTTTCCTCCAAACATAACGATGGTCATTAGTGCCAAACAGTTCTATTTTTGTTTCATCAGGACAGGTCTACAATTGTGGAGGTCTCCAATTTTGTTTCTGAGGTCTTGGCTGATTTCTTTTGATTTTCCCATGATGTCAAGCAAAGAGGCACTGAGTTTGAAGGTAGGCCTTGAAATACATCCACAGGTACACCTCCAATTGACTCAAATGATGTCAATTAGCCTATCAGAAGCTTCTAAAGCCATGACATCATTTTCTGGAATTTTCGTGTATGTAAACTTCTGACCCACTGGAATTGTGATACAGTGAATTATAAGTGAAATAATCTGTCTGTAAACAAATGTTGGAAAAATTACTTGTGTCATGCACAAAGTAGATGTCCTTACCGACTTGCCAAAACTATAGTTTGTTAACAAGAAATTTGCGGAGTGGTTGAAAAACGAGTTTTAATGTCTCCAACTTAACTGTATGTAAACTTCCGACTTCAACTGTATCTACTAACCCTAACCCTATCTCTAACCCTAACCTAACTCTTATCTTAACCCTAAACTTAACCCCTTACCCGTATTCTAAACCTAAACCTAACCCTAACCCTAACCGTAACCTTAGCAAGCAGTTGCTTATCAACATATAGTTTGTTGATAGTAAGACCATGAAAATCCGGACTATCCAAATAAGTGCGACCCAAATTCATCCTGGAACCTTGCACGGTGGAGTCTACAGCCATGTGTCAGGTCAAACAAACACACAGGTGCAAACTAATGGACAAAATCTAACTTGAGATACAGTGAGCACATGTACACTTTCCTTCCCCATGAATCATGTTAGACAACAGATTTGTGCAGACAAGTTCTTTGTTTGTATCTGAAGTTAGGATTGAGCCCTACAGGCATTCAGAATCAGAACTGATCAGATCTAAGTCCTGGAAGAGAGACGATCAGGTAGAAAAGAGGTTGAAGGTAGAAGGGAGAGCAGACCAGAGGGGGAAAGGCAGGATAGGATTGACCATTCTATTGGATGAGATCAGGACAGAGGTTGAGAGTGAGACTGTCTCAACAGTCCTTTCCATGTCTCCTGTCCTTCATGACCACTGATACATGAGATGACAGCACATTGATTTAATCTATTGTCCTTTCACATCAGTGGTCAAACAGGAAATGAGCCAGGGACAGACTATTATTTTGAGATTGTCAGGACAGAGCCTCATAGTTAAATATCAAACAGAATTTGAAGTTCCCATCACCTTGGTAACGAGAGAGAGGGATGAACAGAAAGGTTTGGGGAAGAAGGAAGAAGGCCATAAGTGGCCACTTCTTCTTGGCTAACTGGGGTCACATGACCAGCACAAAACACCAATCACAGATTGTTACCAGTGTGAGGGAGGGAGTGGGGCTCCAGCGAACGTTGGGCCTCCAGGACCATGCAGGCCGGTTATAGCTGCCTGGCTCATGGCAATATCCACAAACAAACAAACACACACATACACATTCACGCACACACACACAAGAACACACATATAAATGCAAACACACATACCCGCAGGAACACACATTCAACATACATGCAAATAAAACAAGAAGAATAAAAGAAGGGAAGAGGGATACTTGTCAGCTTTGTTCAGGGTGGTTTTAAGAGAAATGTATGACTCCACTTATGCTTTACACCGGACATATTTCTGGAATGTGTTTCCATAACATCTATATTTTGTGAAGTTTCTGGGGTTATTCCAACATGTTGTGGTATAAATGATGGACCACCCTGTCAGTGCACATACTATGTACAGTTGAAAGAGAAATATAATTGAAGTAGATTTTAAGACTCAAGAGCATTGCCTCAAGTAGATGACAGAAGGAGAGAGAGAGAGAGAGAGAGAGAGAGAGAGAGAGAGAGAGAGAGAGAGAGAGAGAGAGAGAGAGAGAGAGAGAGAGAGAGAGAGAGAGAGAGAGAGAGAGAGAGGACAAGCAGCAAAGAGAAAAGAAAGAGAAGGAGGATAGCCTAAATCAGGTGACACATTATTATCATTTCCCAACTTTTAGAAAGAGTCAGAGTAAAGCAATATACAGATGTAGGATCTTAATATGATCACCCTGTTGCAGGACATGTTACACTTGTACTGTATTTGAGGTTTAAAAAGGTTTCTGAAGTTTGCAAATTCCACTTAGAGGAATTTCAGACTTGACTTTCCCTTAAAAACGTGTAAAATCCCAGAACAATTTCCATTAATTATAATACACATAATAATTCACATTTTCTGTTGCTGCAGGATTATTTTCCTGCTGTAGCAAAATGGCTCAAATTAAGATCCTACATCTGTAGAGGTATCGAGGAAGAGATACAGTTGAAGTTGGAAGTTTACATACACTTAGGTTGGAGTCATTAAAACTTGTTTTTCAACCACTCCACAAATTTCTTGTTAACAAACTATAGATTTGGCAACTCGGTTAGGACATCTCCTTTGTGCATGACACAAGTCATTTTTCCAACAATTGTTTACAGACTTATAATTCACTGTATCACAATTCCAGTGGGTCAGAAGTTTACATACACTAAGTTGACTGTGCCTTTAAACAGCTTGGAACATTCCAGAAAATGATGCCATGGCTTTAGAAGCTTCTGAAAGGCTAATTGACATCATTTGAGTCAATTGGAGGTATACATGTGGATGTATTTCAAGGCCTACCTTCAAACTCAGTGTCTCTTTGCTTGACATCATGAGAAAAACAAAAGAAATCAGCCAAGAATTCAGAAAAATAATTGTAGACCTCCACAAGTCTGGTTCATCCTTGGGAGCAATTGTACAAACAATAGAACGCAAATATAAACACCATGGGCCCACGCAGCCGTCATACCGCTCAGGAAGGAGACACGTTCTGTTTCCTAGAGATGAACGTACTTTGGTGCGAAAAGTGCAAATCAATCCCAGAACAACAGCAAAGGACCTTGTGAAGATGCTGGAGGAAACAGGTACAAAAGTATCTATATCCACAGTAAAACGAGTCCTATATTGCCATAACCTGAAAGGCTGCTCAGCAAGGAAGAAGCCACTGCTCCAAAACCGCCATAAAAAAGCCAGACTACGGTTTGCAACTGCACATGGGGACAAATATCATACTTTTTGGAGAAATATCCTCTGGTCTGATGAAACAAAAATATAACTGTTAGGCCATAATGACCATCGTTATGTTTGGAGGAAAAAGGGGGTACCTTGCAAGCCAAAGAACACCATCCCAACCGTGAAGCACGGGGGTGGCAGCATCATGCTGTGGGTGTGCTTTGCTGCAGGAGGGACTGGTGCACTTCACAAAATAGATGGCATCATGAGGAAGGAAAATTATGTGGATATATTGAAGCAACATCTCAAGACATCAGTCAGGAAATTAAAACTTGGTCGCAAATAGGTCTTCCAAATGGACAATGACCCCAAGCATACTTCCAAAGTTGTGGCAAAATGTCTTAAGGACAACAAAGTCAAGGTATTGGAGTGGCCATCACAAAGCCCTGACCTCAATCCTATAGAAAATGTGTGGGCAGAACTGAAAAAGCGTGTGCGAGCAAGGAGGCCTACAAACCTGACTCAGTTACACCAGCTCTGTCAGGAGGAATGGGCCAAAATTCACCCAACTTATTGTGGGAAGCTTGTGGAAGGCTACCTGAAACGTTTGACCCAAGTTAAACAATTTAAAGGCAATGCTACCAAATATGAATTGAGTGTATGTAAACTTCTGACCCACTATTATTCTGACATTTCACATTCTTAAAATAAAGTGGTGATCCTAACTGACCTAAGACAGGGAATCTTTACTAGGATTAAATGTCAGGAATTGTGAAAAACTGAGTTTAAATGTATTTGGCTAAGGTGTATGTAAACTTACGACTTCAACTGTAGATGTTCAGAGGAAGATGGGTAAAGAAGAAGAGATGACTGAAAGAGAAAGTTAAAACAAAGAGGGGTTCTCACTTGGTTCCCTCCTCGGTGCCCCCCTCTGCATCCAGCTTGCCCTCTTCTTCCATCTTCTGCTCGTCAGAGATGAGCTCCTGTTTCTTGTGGCGCCGTATACACTTCACCACCACCATGGACAGGATGAGCAGAGCCAGCGCACCGCCGACTGACGCCCCGATCGCCACCGCTATGGTCGAGTCCCGCGGGGGAGGCACTGTGGAGGGGGAGAGGAGGAGGGAAGAGCAGGTGAGATAGTTCTGTAGATAGAGTGTATAGTTGGCAAAGGGCTGATTAAACCACAGTGTGAGGATACGAAAAACCAGGAAAGCAATGCTGAAATTGACTTTTATGTATGTATGTGTGTGTGTGTGTGTGTGTGTGTGTGTGTGTGTGTAAATGCATGTGTGTAATCATGCATACATGTGTGTGTAAAAGTGTGCATGTGTGAGACCAGCATTTGTGAGAGGCAATGATTCTGAGGTGAGCTGGGTTGGCACGACCTTCAATAAGTAAAAAGCTGTATAGTGTTGTGTCATCATGTCCTGGGCTGAAGGAAGGTTGAGACTGAGACTAAGGGAGAACAGAAACACAACCAGATGAGGAACTGAAGGTTGGAGGGATGGATTGGTGAGTGAATGGATTGATAAATGGATGAATGGCAAGGGCAGGGCACATTAATTAATGACATGCTGGCAAACAAGCCTCAAGGCCAGGGATGGGCTGGTATGGGTGGATGGATGGACCAGTTGACCACAGATTAGTGCTGAGCGATTAGTGCTTTTTGAGGTCGGTCCGGTTTTGATTCTATTATAAAAAATGTATCACAGTTTTCGGTTTCTATATATTTTTTAAACATAAAATGCACTTTGCTTTATGTGGGTTGAATGCTGTAACAACACAGAATAAAACAATTAATACAAGTCCCATGATGGTAGTGACTGCCCATTACTGCTATTCACTTATTAACCATCATTTATTCACATTACTTTACTTTAATAAAATATTTGTTTGATTTGATGACTTTATTATTTCATTCCAGGTCATCATCTCATCTCTATAGAGCTTCTGCCTATGCGGTCTGACGAAATCACAATTTTAGTAGTTCTTCAAAGTAAATAAGGCATACTTTTATGACTGCTGAATACCAACTATCAATCACTTAGATCAAGTATTTTCAGGCTCGCCAAGCAACTGCTAAGCAACTTGCCCCCTGTCCCTCTTATTTCTCCCTGCCTTGCCCCCTGCCCTTACATTCTGTGACGACAAACATGTTGATGATTCCGTGGCCCTGGATGCGGTCAGGGGGGTTGCGGACGTAGCAGTTGTAGATGCCCTCGTCTGACAGCTGGACATCAGAGAGGGTGATGGACAAGTCGTTTTTTTCCAGGTTACCCACAAACTGCACCCGGTCACTGAACCGGTCCGTCCGCAGGGGCATCATCCCCTTCTTATAGGTCATGAACTGGAGGAGAGAAGAGGAGGAAGAGGGGGATTAGCAGAAAGATAGACAGAAAACATGTAGTTTTTATTGAACCCAGGACTCCCTGGAAAACAGTGGCAACTGTTACTGAGTACAGATGTAGGATCTTAATTTGATCACTCTTTTGTTGCTGACAATTTTCCTGCACTGCAGGAAATGCAGATGAGCATCGTGATTTGCATACATTCACTGAAAACCTGCACTAACACACGGTTATATTAACATTATTGCACTTTTCATGTTGCCTACTTTTGTCCAGCTCATAGCCTAACCACTGATCAAGCAACATAATGGACTAAACGTTCAAATCCTGTTGCGGCAGGAATAATTTGCTAAGACAATACTGGTCAAATTAAGATCCTATATCTGTAGACTATACTGGCTAAATAAATAAAATGAAATGAAACACATCTAAAAAAATAAAATAAAAGAAGATTAATGTTACTGTATATCATGGCAGAGTCAGGGGGACGGTGTCCATTTTAGCCTTACACCTTACCCCTCCTTGAGTCAGTCCTCACCTTCCTTGAGTCAATCTGAGGCTGAGGGTGTCCTAAAATGGACACTGTGCATCGGCCTGGCATTGACACAATACAAGGGCAGACACACGGTCTGGTCTCTCACCATCTCCTCAGTCTCGTTGGTGTTCTCCTGGTAGGTCCAGTTCATGGCAAACTTGTTGACATCCATCTTGTAGCAGGAGGTGAAGATGCACTGGATCCTCACCATGGTGCCATTCAGGACGTTGATCTGGTTATGGACCAGGACATCCATACTAGACGCAGGGCAGGCTGGGGGAGGGAGGGATGGAGGGGATTCATTATGAAACACATAGATCTGCTACACATGGAAGTATGGATTTTGTTGTTTACTGTTCTATAGGAAGGAATGAGTTCATTCACGAGAAAGATCATACAGTTGAAGTCGGAAGTTTACATACACTTAGGTTGGAGACATTAAAACTTCTTTTTCAACCACTCCACAAATGTCTTGTTAACAAACTATAGTTTTGGCAAGTCGGTTAGGACTTTGTGCATGACACAAGTCATTTTTCGAACAATTGTTTAGAGACAGATTATTTCACTTATAATTCACTGTATCACAATTCCAGTGGGTCAGAAGTTTACATACACTAAGTTGACTGTGCCTTTAAACAGCTTGGAAAATTCCAGAAAATGATGTCATGGCTTTAGAAGCTTCTGATAGGCTAATTGACATCATTTGAGTCAATTGGAGGTGTACCTGTGGATGTATTTCAAGGCCTACTTTCAAACTCAGTGCCTCTTTGCTTGACATCATGGGAAAATCAAAAGAAATCAGCCAAAACCTCAGGAAAAATTTGTAGACCTCCACAAGTCTGGTTCATCCTTGGGAGCAATTTCCAAACGCCTGAAGGTACCACGTTCATCTGTACAAACAATAGTACGCAAGTATAAACACCATGGTACCACGCAGCCGTCATACCGCTCAGGAAGGAGACGCGTTCTGTCTCTTAGAGATTAATGTACTTTGGTTGCGAAAAGTGCAAATCGATCCCAGAACAACATCAAAGGACCTTGTAAAGATGCTGGAGGAAACTGGTACAAAAGTATCTATATCCACAGTAACACAAGTCCTATGTCGACATAACCTGAAAGGCCACTCAGCAAGGAAGAAGCCACTGCTCCAAAACCGCCATAAAAAAGCCAGACAACGGTTTGCAACTGCACATGGGGACAAAGATCGTACTTTTTGGAGAAATGTCCTCTGGTCTGATGAAACAAAAATATAACTGTTTGGCCATAATGACCATCGTTATGTTTGGAGGAAAAAGGGGGTACCTTGCAAGCCAAAGAACACCATCCCAACTGTGAAGCACGGGGGTGGCAGCATCATGCTGTGGGGTGCTTTGCTGCAGGAGGGACTGGGGCACTTCACAAAATATATGGCATCATGAGGAAGGAAAATTATGTGGATATATTGAAGCAACATCTCAAGACCTCAGTCAGGAAGTTAAAGCTTGGTCGCAAATGGGTCTTCCAAATGGACAATGACCCCAAGCATACTTCCAAAGTTGTGGCAAAATGTCTTAAGGACAACAAAGTCAAGGTATTGGAGTGGCCATCACAAAGCCCTGACCTCAATCCTATAGAAAATGTGTGGGCAGAACTGAATAAGCGTGTGCGAGCAAGGAGGCCTACAAACCTGACTCAGTGCTACCAAACACTAATTGAGTGTATGTAAACTTCTGACCCACTGGGAATGTGATAAAAGAAATAAAAGCTGAAATAAATCATTCTCTCTACTATTATTCTGACATTTCACATTCTTAAAATAAAGTGGTGATCCTAACTGACCTAAGACAGGGCATTTTTACTAGGATTAAATGTCAGGAATTGTGAAAAACTAAGTTTAAAGGTGTATGTAAACTTCCGACTTCATCTGTATGTATGAGATCATCACTTAAACAAACTGCTATGTATTTCAAAATATATTTTTTTCTGGGTCAGTGAAATCCTCTGTAAAGCAACCACCATCAGCTGAAGGTGATAGTAGTATTAGGATACTGCTTTAGTAGTAGTGTCTATCCACACAACCTGGGAGGAATTGCGCAGTACACAACCGTACTGTAGTAACATCTCGGTATGCACACAGTGACTCTCTCCTGCACCGGTTACTCTTAACGCACCTCTTGACACACCGTGTACAGCACTCCCTCTGAAGTGCCCTGAACCATACTGAAGGAACGAATGAACGAATGCTTAGACAACACTTTGAACAGCCAGAGTGGTTGAATCGGTGGTTCAGTTGTAGGCACAGAGGAATTCAGCCCGGTAATTCTGCCCTGTAATCGTTCCACTCGTATTGCTAATGGTAATCATTGTTTGCGGGTTGGCGTTTATTGCGACGATGGCTTATGCATGAGTATTGGCTAAAGCTGCAGAAAAAGAGTTTGACTGAATCTCCTGAATACATAACTCATTGAGGCATTGAGGCAGAACTGTGCTGTATACCTGTGTGTGCCTACAGCGTTGTGTCTGTGAACTGCATATGATGACAATGCACAGTATCAGTTAGGCATGTGAACACTTGCACATCTGTTTGTTTCTTTGTGTGTGTGTGCGTGTGTTTGTGTGTGTTGTGTGTGTGCAGGGCCTTTGCCAGAACGAATCAGTTGGGTGGGCCTTTGATATCCAGAGGTGGGCATGTTTTTTCACGGGACGTCCTGTTTGTGCACACATTTGTGTTGGAAAGATATTTCAAATACTGAGGAACTATCATTTGCAAGGGATGTAAAAAATAAATAAAAAATAAGACTTTGTATACAATGTGAGGTGAAGAAAGAATTACTGAGAAGATCAGCTTATTAGTGGTGGACATGGTGAGTTAAGACAATCAGAAATCAGACATTGCCCAATGGGCATTTTCCTACATTTGCACACAGCAGGCCAGGTAAATTACTGTAATTAATACATGCATTAAGATAAATTAATGTAGTCTAATGACAGGGGACTAACAGTAAATTTACTAGGCCTACTGGTGACATACAGTACCAGTCAACATTTTGGAGACACCTACTCATACCAGGGTTTTTCTTCATTTTTTACTATTTTCTACATTGTAGAATAATAGTGAAGACATCAAAACTATGAAATAACACATATGCAATCATGTAGTAACCAAAAAAGTGTATGTAACCAAAATATGTGTTATTTCATAGTTTTGATGTCTTCGCTATTATTCTACAATGTAGAAAATAGTAAAAAATAAAGAAAAACCCTGGTATGAGTAGGTGTGTCCAAAATGTTGACTGGTATTGTATGTAATGGGGAATTGATAAAAAAGAAACAATCAAAGGGCAAACAATTCACAGAATTAAACAATTAATGTGCAAGAATTGGCGGGAGACAGCTGAGCGACATTCTGGAGAGCTGAGTGCATGCATTCTGGAGAGAGACATGCCATATCTTCGCCACACACCCCTCCCCTCCTTCGTGTTGCAACATTTTAAATCATACTCAAGACACATTATCTTCACACCTATTTTAGATGCTTTTCACTGATAGCCGCAACTCAATCAGCTAGACTTATTGCAACATGTGCACTACCCAAATTGCAGGCTTCCCAAATAGGTATAGGCCTACGCACTTGTGATTTGAAACTATCCACATAGATTTATTTTAGGCTAAGTCATGCTCTCTGGTGAAGTATTTATAATGTTTTCATTTAGGAGTAATTATGTAATTTTGGCAAAACATAAATGTACTTTAAGGGAAGCCCGCATCCTAACAGTGCACTGTGCACCCACCAACTTTCCTTTCCAATTCGCAAGAGGCTGAAACCAGAGATCTGTATATAATGACAAGATGCTCATGTCTCCACCCTAACAATGGGTGTCGTTGTCCCAAAGGCAGGAAGGCAGGCGACAAGCTTAGGTCTGCATAATATGCCCATAGAAACGCATTGTGCTTACTCTGGACAGATTTTGGTGAGAGTGAGACCTCTCGCTTCACCTCTTCCTCTCTGCTGAAACTCTCTCACCGGATAAAGCATCCGAATGAAGTAATGGCGCCGTAGGAGATGGCTGCCGTTTTACGGCTCCTAACCGATTGCGCTATTGTGTGTGTTTTTTCGCATTATTTGTAACTTATTTTGTACATAATGTTTCTGCCACCGTCTCTTATGACCGTAAAGAGATATATCAGGACAGCGATTACTCACCTGGTACTGGCCGGAAAAAAATTATTTAACGAGTCGGACGCGAAGGATTTACTTCAGACACCAGACAAGGCCCAAATCCCCGTCATTCACAGGAGAAAGAGACGGAGATATCGGGGACGTAGGTTGGGGTGCCTTGTAAGGATCCGACGGCGAGTGGGTAATCTGCCTCTACCATCAGTCCTATTAGCCAACGTACAATCATTGGATAACAAAATAGACGAGCTACGATCACAAATATCCTACCAACGGGACAATAAAAACTGTAATATCTTATGTTTCACCAAGCCGTGGCTGAACGACGACATGGATAACATATAGCTGGCGGGGTTTACGCTGCATCGGCAAGAGAGAACAGCGGCCTCCGGTAAGACAAGGGGTGGTGGTCTGTGTATATTTGTAAACAACAGCTGGTGCTAGAAATCTAATATTAAGGAAGTCTCTAGGTTTTGCTCGCCTGAGGTAGGGTATCTCATGATAAGCTGTAGACCACACTATTTACCAAGAGTTTTCATCTATATATTTCGTAGCTGTCTATTTACCACCACAAACCGATGCTGGCACTAAGACCGCACAAAATTAACTGTATAGGGCCATAAGCAAACAGGAAAATGCTCAACCAGAGGCGGTGCTCCTAGTGGCTGGGGACTTTAATGAAGGGAAACTTAAATCCATTTTACTTAATTTCTACCAGCATGTTAAATGTGCAACCAGAGGAGAAAAAAAACTCTAGACGACCTTTACTCCACACACAGTGACGTGTACAAAGCTCTCCCTCGCCCTCCTTTTGGCAAATCTGACCATAATTCTATCCTCCTGATTCCTGCTTACAAGCAAAAACTAAAGCAGGAAGCACCAGTGACTCGGTCAATAACGAAGTAGTCAAGATGATGCAGATGCTAAGCTACAGGACTGTTTTGCTAGCACAGACTGGAATATGTTCCGGGATTCTTCCAATGGCATTGAGGAGTACACCACATCAGTCACTGGCTTCATCAATAAGTGCATCGATGACATCGTCCCCACAGTGACCGTACTTACATACCCCAACCAGAAGCCATGAATTACAGGCAACATCCGCACTGAGCTAAAGGGTCGAGCTGCCACTTTCAAGGAGCGGGACTCTAACCCGGACACTTAGAAAAAATCCCGCCATGCCCTCCGACGAACCATCAAACAAGGGAAAGCATCAACACAGGACTAAGATTGAATCGTACTACACCGGCTCCGATGCTTGTCGGATGTGGCAGGGCATGCAAACTATTACAGACTACAAAGGGAAACACAGCCGCGAGCTGCCCAGTGACACGAGCCTACCAGACGAGCTAAATTACTTCTATGCTCGCTTCGAGGCAAGCAACACTGAAGCATGCATGAGAGCATCAGCTGTTCCGGACGACTGTGTGATCACGCTCTCCGTAGCTGATGTGAGTAAGACCTTTAAACAGGTCAACATTCACAAGGCCGCAGGGCCAGACGGATTACCAGGATGTGTACTCCGAGCTTGCGCTGACGAACTGGCAAGTGTCTTCACTGACATTTTCAACCTGTCCCTGACTGAGTCTGTAATACCAACATGTTTCAAGCAGACCACCATAGTCCCTGTGCCCAGGAACACTAAGGTAACCTGCCTAAATTACTACAAACCCGTAGCACTGATGTCTGTAGGCATGAAGTGCTTTGAAAGGCTGGTCATGGCTCACATCAACACCATTATCCAAGAAACCCTAGACCCACTCCAATTTGCATACTGTCCCAACAGATCCACAGATGATGCAATCTCTATTGCACTCCACACTGCCCTTTTCCACCTGAACAAAAAGAACACCTACGTGAGAATGCTATTCATTGACTACAGCTCAGCGTTCAACACCATAGTGCCCTCAAAGCTCATCACTAAGCTAAGGAACCTGGGACTAAACACCTTCCTCTGCAACTGGATCCTGGACTTCTTGACGGGCCGCCCCCAGGTGGTAAGGGTAGGTAACAACACATCTGCCATGCTGATCCTCAACACAGGGGCCCCTCAGGGGTGCGTGCTCAGTCCCCTCCTGTACTCCCTGTTCACCCATGACTGCATGGCCAGGCACGACTCCAACACCATCATTAAGTTTGCCAAAGACACAACAGTGATAGGCCTGATCACCGACAACGATGAGACAGCCTATAGGGAGGATGTCAGAGACCTGGCCATGTGGTGCCAGGATAACAACCTCTCCCTCAACGTGATCAAGACAAAAGGAGATGATTGTGGACTACAGGAAAAGGAGGACCGAGCACGCCCCATTCTCAACGACAGGGCTGTAGTGGAGCAGGTTGAGAGCTTCACGTTCCTTGGTGTCCACATCGCCAACAAACTATCATGGTCCAAACACACCAAGACAGTCGTGAAGAGGACACGACAAAGCCTATTCCCCCTCAGGAGACTGAAAAGATTTGGCATGGGTCCTCAGATCCTCAAAAGGTTCTACAGCTGCACCATCGAAACCATCCTGACTGGTTGCATCACTACCTGCTATGGCGACTGCTCGGCCTCCGACCGCAAGGCACTACAGAGGGTAATGCGTACGGCCCAGTTCATCACTTGGGCCAAGCTTCCTGCCATCCAGGACCTCTATACCAGGCTTTGTCAAATTGTTAAAGACTCCAGCGACCCTAGTCATAGACTGTTCTCTCTGCTAATGCACAGCAAGCGGTACCGGAGTGCCAAGTCTAGGTCCAAAAGGCTTCTTAACAGCTTCTACCCCAAAGCCATGAGACTCCTGAAAAGCTAATCAAATGGCTACCCGGACTATTTGCATTGCGGTGCACATCTCGGTCAAATAAATTATCAATATTTCAATGTTTTATTTGGACAGGCATGGAGGTACGGTAGAATGGGCCAGGCCCCCTAAGACCCGCTCATAACGGCGGCCCTGTGTGTGTGTGTGTTCTGTGAGTGCCTCAGTGGGATGAGTGTGGCTGTTAGTGAGTGCAAGCACGTGCGTGATGGCCGGGGTGGGATGGGTGTGTTTGATCGGCTCTGCACCATTCGTTCCCTCTGCAGTCTGTCGAGTTTTGTGTTCCTGGACAAGTTCCCCCTGCTGCTGCAATCACTCTTCATCGTACTGGGTCTCTGCAGCAGCTAGTCCCTCTACTCACACCCTCCTATATCTCTCTCTCTCTATTTCTCTCTATTTCTCTCTCTCTCTCTCTCTCTCTCTCTCTCTCTCTCTCTCTCTCTCTCTCTCTCTCTCTCTCTGTTTGTGTGCTGTAGTGGTGCAGTTAGTGTCCTGTCCCTCGGATCAATCACTTCCTCCCTCTCTTCTCTCCCTCCCTTCCCTCCCTTCCTCTCTCTGAATCAGGTGTCCTCTGGAAGTACTGCAGTACAGCACCTGTTTAGAGAGGAGAAAGGCAGGGAGGGACAAATACAGTAAGGGAAAAAAGTATTTGATCCCCTGCTGATTTTGTACGTTTGCCCACTGACAAAGACATGATCAGTCTACAATTTTAATGGTAGGTTTATTTGAACAGCGAGAGACAGAATAACAACAACAAAATCTAGAAAAACGCATGTCAAAAATGTTATAAATTGATTTGCATTTTAATGAGGGAAATAAGTATTTGACCCCTCTGCAAAACATGACTTAGTACTTGGTGGCAAAACCCTTGTTGGCAATCAGAGGTCAGACGTTTCTTGTAGTTGGCCACCAGGTTTGCACACATCTCAAGAGGGATTTTGTCCCACTCCTCTTTGCAGATCTACTCCAAGTCATTAAGGTTTAGAGGCTGACGTTTGGCAACTCGAACCTTCAGCTCCCTCCACAGATTTTCTATGGGATTAAGGTCTGGAGACTGGCTAGGCCACTCCAGGACCTTAATGTGCTTCTTCTTGAACCACTCCTTTGTTGCCTTGGACGTGTGTTTTGGGTCATTGTCATGCTGGAATACCCACCCACGACCCATTTTCAATTCCCTGGCTGAGGGAAGGAGGTTCTCACCCAAGATTTGACGGTACATGGCCCCGTCCATTGTCCCTTTGATGTGGTGAAATTGTCCTGTCCCCTTAGCAGAAAAACACCCCCAAAGCATAATGTTTCCACCTCCATGTTTGACGGTGGGGATGGTGTTCTTAGGTCACAGGCAGCATTCCTCCTCCTCCAAACACGGCAAGTTGAGTTGATGCCAAATAGCTCCATTTTGGTCTCATCTGACCACAACACTTTTACCCAGTTCTCATTTTGTTGTTATTCTGTCTCTCACTGTTCAACTAAACCTACCATAAAAATTATAGACTGATTATTTCTTTGTCAGGTGGCAAACGTACAAAATCAGCAGGGGATCAAATACTTTTTTCCTCACTGTAGGCTGACATCCCACACACATACAGATACACTGTATGCTCACATGCAGTGCATTCAGAAAGTATTCAGACTTTTTCCACATTTTGTTATGTTATCGCCTCATTCTAAAATGGATTAAATAAAAAATAATAAACAGAAATACCTTCTTTACATAAGTATTCAGACCGTTTGCTATGAGACTGGAAATTGAGCTCAGGTGCATCCTGTTTCCAATTATCATCCTTGAGATGTTTCTGCAACTTGATTGGAGTTCACCTGTGGCAAATTCAATTGATTGGACATGATTTGGAAAGGCACACACCTGTCTATAGAAGCTCCAACAGTCGACAGTGCATGGAACCACCAAGACTATTCCTAGAGCTGGCCACCCTGCAAAACTGGGCAATCGGGGGAGAAGGGACTTGATCAGGGAGGTGACCAAGAACCCGATGGTCACTCTGAGAGAGCTCCAGAGTTCCTCTGTGGAGATGGGAGAACCTTCCAGAAGGACAACCAACTCTGCAGCACTCCACCAATCAGGCCTTTATAGTAGAGTGGCCAAACGGAAGCCACTCCTCAGTATAAGGCACATGAAAGCCCGCTTGGAGTTTGCCAAAAGGCACCTAAAGACTCTCAGACCATGAGAAACAAGATTATCTGGTCTGATGAAACCAAGATTGAACTCTTTGGCCTGAATGCCAAGCGTCACATCTGGAGGAAAGCTGGCACCATCCTTACGGTGAAGCATGGTGGTGGCAGCATCATGCTGTGGGGATGTTTTTCAGCGGCAGGGACTGGGAGACTAGTCAGAATTGAGGGAAAGATGAACGGAGCAAAGTACAGAGAGATCCTTGATGAAAACCTGCTCCAGAGCGCTCAGGACGTCAGACTGGGGCGAAGGTTCACCTTCCAACAGGACAACGACCCTAAGCACACAGCCACGACAACAGAGGAGTGGCTTCGGGACAAGTCTCTGAATGTCCTTGAGTGGCCCAGCCAGAACCTGGACTTGAACTCGATCGAACATCTCTGGAGAGACCTAAAAATAGCTGTGCAGCGATGCTCCCCATCCAAACTGACAGAGCTTGAGAGGATCTGCAGAGAAGAATGGGAGAAACTCCCCAAATACAGGTGTGCCAAGCTTGTAGCGTCATACCGAAGAAGATTTGATCCTGTAATCGCTGCCAAAGGTGCTTCAACAAAGATTGAGGCTGTAACGTAAAAAAAATGTGGAAAAAGTCAAGGGGTCTGAATACTTTCCGAATGCACTGTATAGACCTATAGCTACACATTGGCAAAATATATGCACACCCTGTACGTCACACACACACACACACACACACACACACACACACACACACAACACGTGTACTTGCAGAGTCAGCACTCAGCAATGCACTCTAATCTGCACTGGTGCTACGTGAATGTCTTCCCAGCCCATGGTTTGGCCTTGTATATTCCCATTTAGCTATATACAGATGTAGGAACTTAATTTGAGCTAGAAATCAAGTCTGTCATTTTAAAGTGGAAATTACAAACTTTAGAAGCCTTTTTAAACTTCAAATACATTATACGTTCTCAGCAACAAAAGAGTGATCAAATTAAGATCCTACATCTGTACTGTATCTAGTGCATCTATAGGGTGAGTACATTCTGGAGGGGGTTACTTTACAGTATGTCCATCACATCCTTCAATATGCAGTACCAGTCAAAACTTTGGACACACCTACTCATTCCAGGGTTTTTCTTTCTTTTTATTATTTTCTACATTGTCGAATAATAGTGAAAATATCAAAACTATGAAATAACACATATGGAATGATGTAGTAACCAAAAAAGTGTTAAACAAATCCAAATATATTTTATATTTGAGATTCTTCAAAGTAGCCACCCTTTCCCTTGATGACAGCTTTGCACACTCTTGGCATTCTCTCAACCAGCTTCATGAGGTAGTCACCTGGAATGCATTTCAATTAACAGGTGTGCCTTGTTAAAAGTTAATTTGTGGAATTTATTTCCTTCTTAATGTGTTTGAGCCAATCAGTTGTGTTGTGACAAGGTAGGGGTGGTATACAGAAGACAAGTCCATATTATGGCAAGAAAAGCTCAAATAAGCAAAGAGAAACGACAGTTCATCATTACTTGAAGACATGAAGGTCAGTCAATACGGAAACATTTCAAGAACTTGCAGTCGCAAAAACCATCAAGCGCTATGATGAAACTGGCTCTCATGAGGATGACCACAGGAAAGGAAGACCCAGAGTTACCTCTGCTGCAGAGGATAACTTCATTAGAGTTACCAGCCTCAGAAATTGCAGCCCAAATAAATGCTTTACAGAGTTCAAGTAACAGACACATCTCAACATCAACTGTTCAGAGGAGACTGCGTTAATCAGGCCTTCACGGTCGAATTACTGCAAAAGAAACCACTACTAAAGGACACCAATAAGAAGAAGAGCTTGCTTTGGCCAAGAAACACGAGCAATGGACATTAGACCAGTGGAAATCTGTCCTTTGGTCTGATGAGTCCAAATTTGAGATTTTTGGTTCTAACCGCCGTGTCTTTGTGAGACGCATAGTAGGTGAATGGATGATCTCCGTATGTGTGGTTCCCTCCGTGAAGCATGGAGGAGGAGGTGTGATGGTGTGGGGGTGCTTTGCTGGTGACACTGTCAGTGATTTATTTAGGATTCAATGCAAACTTAAAAAGCATGGCTACCACAGAATTCTGCAGCGATATGCCATCCCATCTGGTTTGCGCTTAGTGGGACTATCTTTTTTTTTTTTAACAGGACAATGACCCAACACACCTCCAGGCTGTGTAAGGGCTATTTGACCTTGATATGTATGATGCCAACATCGTTGTCTAGAATTATAGGCCTATACACACATATATTGAACTATAATATTATAGTATGTGTAGCATTCTGAGAGAGAGCTACATTATCTCATCCAATAAAGAAAGTATGTAAATAGTGTTTAACACCCATGTGACCCAATGCTTTTGCTGCACTACTTGATCTGCTATTACAAGGCAGGAAAATACTGCAGTGTATAGCCCTCTCTCTCCCTCCGTCCTTCTTCACTCTCCCTTACTCTCCTCTCCCTCCCTCAGCACACCCCATATATCCCTCCTCCTCTCTCTTTCTTTCAGCTGCTTTTTTCGGCGGCTCAAGAGAAGGTAAAGACAAGGCGCACTGCAGTGCTGTAGAAACTACTTTTAAAATGTCATTGGATTACTGTGTGGCAGTATATAAACATGGTCGCACACACACATGCACCAACACATGCATGCACGCACAAAGTTGCATTCTCCCTCAGATGCCATTCTCGAAATAAAGCACTCTGTCTCTCATCTCATACGCAAAGTATAAACACATTATGCATGCATAAGCACATACACAGGCGCACGCACGCACACACACACACACACACACTGCACCAAGATAAATTCAGGCAATCATGATTTGTTCTCTACAGTTAACATCACATATTGCCAATACTAAGATAAAGTCCACACTCTTAGAGAAAAGGGTTCCGCAAGGGTTATTAGGCTGTCCCCATAGGTGAACGTTTTTTGGTTCCAGGTAGAACCCTTTTTGTATCCAGGTAGAATCCTTTTGGTTTTGCTGTAAAAACCCTCTTTGCAAAGGGTTGTACATGGAACCGAAAAGGGTTCTACCTGGAACCAAAAGGGTTCTACCTAGAACCAAAAAGGGTTATTAAAAGGGTTCTCCAATGGGGACAGCCGAATAACCCTTTTAGGTTCTAGATAGTACCTTTCTTTCTAAGAGTGTAGATTCGATACTGTACTACTACACCTATCATTTCAGATGCAGCTGTAAAACTAGCCAAAACACTAATAGCACGGAAGAGAATGAAAGCTTTTATTGAGTTTCTACCATACCACCTTTATTAATCTCTGAGTGTGTTTTGTGGGGAGAGTGGCGTTGTAGTTTCTTGTGGTTTCTTAGCTAACAGGACATTGTCAGCAGAATGTTTGTGCAGTGTGTATACAAAGACCAGACTTAATGGTTCAATATGTGTGTGTTTGTGTGTGTGTGCGTGTGTGTGTGTGCGTGTGTGTGCGTGTGCGAGCATACTTGTGTGCAAAGGACTTAATGTGGTAGATCAGTGTTGGGAAAGCTCACTAACTAACAAACAGCAATCCACTGAGACTGCGGTTCTGGCTTGGTACTCTTTCACCTGGTTCAAGACTAGTTTGGACCAGAGCCATGTATTTTGAGAGTTGGGCCAACTTTTAGAATTTTGAATTTGTTCTAATTCTAGACATTCAGTTACATAGCATTATTAAAATATTACCCATGTAAGGTAATGGGGCGTTAAGTCTAACATGGATGCCATAGAATTTTAAAGTGTTATGTAAATGAATCATAATGCAGAAACATCAATGGCACAACACATGGCTCTGGTTTGGACCAGAAGCTGTCGTCTCCTTCTCTACCAGTGGCATAGATGTCACCTCACCCCCATGTCGATTCCATTTCTCACCCTGTAGGTGGGTGATTGCAACCCAGCAGGGTTCATACCCAGGCTGCCTGCTGACAGGGCAGGTGTTGACTGGCTGATGGATAGGCCGACCCAGGTGGTTGACCTCTGGGCCCATTAGCTGCCCAGTGATCCATAGCCTTGAATAAAGGTGATTGCCAATGTCCTTGGTCCTGTGTGTGTTTAGTGTGAGTATGTGTGTGTGTGTGTGTGTGTTTGTTTGGCTGTGGGCAGTGGGCAGTGGCTCAGCATACTCTATGACTAGTGAGTGCAATGGGGGAAGGATAATGTAGTATAATACATTATTGAGGGACTGACCTTAATATGGTGGTCATAATGTTATTACATTTGGTTTTAAGGAGGTAACAGTGTTCAAGACTGGTCAAATGTATTGGATCTCTGTCTTTTGATGGCTGAGGTATGTGTCTTTGATATGACACAGAACACATTATTAGGTGAACCTGCTGACAGGCAAGGTCATTATGCAGGCTATGGGATTACAAACTACACACTGTAGCCTGTACCTTACAGCTCAATCTAATCATGTAACCTACAGTATCCCTTCCATGATGAAGCAGCTATTCCTACTCTCTACTTCCTCACATTCAAAAGGAGCAGCCTTATGGCACCATCCTGAGAATGAGAATTGATGATCTATCCCATGAAATGAATGCTGCCAGCTCTGAGCTAAACTGCTGCATAGCAACAGTAGGCTACAGACTGCAGAGTGGGCTATACAGTGGCAGTGGATGTGGAATAGCCTGCCCCCTTGTGGATGAAATTAAAAAGTGCACTCAAAGATCCCAATACCGAATGGACATCATAAATACTGTTGGTTGTTAGTCAGCACCCGGTTTTCATTGAATGTAGCCTAGTCCTCTATATCAATCATCCATACTGTTGTTAAATAGCATTTATGAGCTCCTAAAAGTCTACTATTACCAACTGCTCCTTCAAATAGTATGAGAGGCTGTATGTGAGCTCAGCATGCCATCATAGCTGCTGGTCTATCTGCATGGCACTGTCTCCCTCTGGTGTAAAAGTATAGGAGGCGCAGCAGCATGACAATACATGATTGTTCTAAAATGGTGAAGGTTTCAGAGGCTGGTGTGGTAGTAGTCATCTCTTCTGCTGCACACTGCACAATGACCAGACAGTGTGAACCAGATGACACAGACATACATTTGCATCACCACAACAGTTTGAAAGTGCTAGGCTATGCTATTTTTCCAATACATATTTCTACATTTTTAACCTACCCTTTATTTGTAATATCCTACAACATTATGATAACACAGATATTAACATGCATATTTGGAAAATAAAGGTTTAGGCTCCTGCATAGGCTTAATGGTGTCATGGCATCAACATTTCAGATCGGGAAATTCATCTCATGAGCTGTCATTACGCACCAGTAACGTTAGCCTGTTGCCAAGCAGGCCTCTGCTTAGCACAAAACAGCGCTCTCACTATCCATCTTTACCTGAGTGCTCTTTGGGATACGAATAATAAAGTGTAGGCTATGTGAATAAACGGGAAATATAGCCTACATTGGTGAGGCAATGTGAATAGATTATTGTATCCACCCAGATGCGCTAAACTCAGTATAGGCTTCCTCATAGCCAGCCGACGGTGCTGTGCCAGTCACGCTTCGACCCGCTATTGTGAGAAAGCAAACACTATGACGAGTTCTTTATTTAAATTGAGGAGAAACGACAATTTCTTTCAGATTCATGGCCTGTTTACAAATAGCCTGTACGCAAGGCGATGTTGCTAGCGATGCGTCTCTAGTGCCGAGATGATGGAGATACGCGGTGTCCGTGCGTCTGCGTCCATCCACTCCACTCCGCTCCTGCATCAGTAGAGAGAGCATCACTGGACCTGCCTGAGCCCTGATACATACACGACTGTTACACATTCTGAATAAGCTATAGGTAGATAGCGGGCCGATAATAAATCCCCACGTTGTTTTGGTTTATCCTCGATATATATCAGGCGTTGGGACGCTCGAATGATCCTTTTTTGTGATTCACTGCGTTTATCTCTGGATTAAAAACAACCGCACATCGTTTAGCCTACTGTTTTGGTTCCTTGACTGAATCTGTTGACATAGCCTACAGATGTATTAGATCGAATTACTAATGGTGAGGGAAAAGTGTTAGGCTTAGAGGTGATGAAGTTGGTAATTTACAGTGATGGCAAGCGGCGTATTTCGTGAGCCACCAGTCAATTAATTAGGTAGCCTACCATAATCATACAGCATTTCAGGAATATTTCGCTAATTTACAGACACACACACACACACTCACACTTACACACACAACGCGCGAGGAAACGGTGCACATTTGATCCAAGATAGTAAAATTGCGGCTCTGTCATTCATCTTTCCAAATTACGATCCGCTGTTACATTAGGCGCTTCCGTTGTAGCCTACTTACCCATAATATAAACCACCAATCCCACGATGCTCAAATTGATAGCTTGTTTCCACGTCTTATTTCGCTTTTGTAATATAAAATGCATTGTATCTCCTTGAAGTAAAACGTCACGCTATATAATAAATATACAAATATCGTCAAAATCTTCCGTTTTACTTTAAAAAATCTTAAAATATGTGTTATTTTTCAGTGCTATGATATGGCTGTCAGTGACTGTAGCTGTAGAAATAGTTGATTATATGGTTGTCGGTGTCTCTCAAAAGAAGGCGGGGAGGTTAGAAATTGAATAAAATCGTCTACTCTTAGCTCACTCCCTTTCTTGCTCTCCATTTCCCCTTTTCATATCTCATATTTCAACGTACAATTATTAAATTACATTTACTCGCAATTATCTACAGTTTCAAACCAGGAGTTTTCCAACCTTTCCTTTGGGGACCTACAGCCATGTATTTGACCTATTCCACAGTTATTAACACCTGATTCAACTTGTCAACTAGTCATCAAGCCCTTGAATAGGTGAATCAGGTCTGCACAATTGTGAAATGTCTGTGAAATGAAATGTTGTGTAATTGATGTCCTGATTACTGAGCAGTTGGACTGCTATAGACATAAACAATCCCCAATAACACTGACAGAAACTGTCTGGGATTCCATCCATAATGTGTTGACAGACAAATGCATTGCTCTTGTTTAGGTGACGTCAGAGGTGCCTTGTAATCTCTGAAAGTCAAAGCCTTTGGCCTTTACTACTTTAGCACATATAAATGCATTGCATAACACATTTATAAAAAGACAGTAAAAAAAGAAATCATAAGGAATAAGGTTTTGAGGTGTTTGTCCTATATCTAGGAGATAAGAAAGCTCAGGAAATATTTTTGTTTTTGGACACATATTTAACACTTTTTTTGTTGGCAGAAAACTACCTCCATACTTCCATTCAGTTGTATGGGTTACCTTCAGACACTTGTGGGGGTCATAGAGCAACACGGAGAACACCATCGTGTTCGTGAGAGTCTCATCTTTCCGTAGAGTTGTATTAGTTAGTAGGCCAAACCGTTCGGACACTACAGACGTTTTCATGAGAATATACATTTTTGGGTGTCCTGGTCTGACAAACAGCGCTGTAGCTCTGCCACTTTCCACCGCAGATGCAAAAGTCCAACATAGGCTGATGTGGTTGATTGAGACGCAGCCCACGCAGATATCTCTAGCTTAAACTGACACATTTTAATGGAGATTTATTGTGTTAATTAGATTGACGCACAGTTGCATCAGTAGACTCCTTAAAAGGTAATTTACACTTGAGCTGACATTCACAGCGTTCACCATGAATGCGATCTCCGCGAACATTGGGGAAATTCCCTTTAAAAGGTGCACAGTGGTAGAATGCGCTTTCGCAGGGTAGAACACAATTTGAATTAATACTGGACATCTTCTAACATAGCCTGAGGACAACAGACCTCATGGCTTTTTAGGCTAAACTGAATGGGATTTTTTTTTTTACAACTATTGAGATTAGTTCACTTTGCTGTCTGTCAACATGTGGTATTCTTTCACATGCCGAACAAATACTATATAGTATCAGAAAGCTTCCAAGAAAATTATAGTTGATCTTTAAGGTAATGTGATTCTTAGCATTTTACATGTGATATCTCTACACAGGGTCATAGAATGAACAGAGACTTGCAAAGATAAAGGATGAAGATGTGTTTATGAGCACTGTCTCTCAATTTCCTGGGAAGAGGAGTTTGGGAAGTCTGGGAAAAGATCATTTGAAGAACAAAGTGGTCGTGGTAGCCAAACAAACAAAAATTTTCAACCTGCTTCCAGCAAGACCCTGCCCCTCCCTTTCTGTTCATCAATAGCAAGTGCAGGAATAAAGAGGTACTGAGGAAGAAAACAAGGGAGGAAGGGAGCTCTAATATGGATGTTAAGGGATGGGATGAAGAGATAGATAGCAGGGAACGAGTGGGATGTACTGTGAGCTCCAGATGAATGGATGAGGATGAAAAGATCAATACTGACAAAAGAGAGATTTCGGTATTAAAGGCCTTACTGATCAGTCAAGCACAATGGCACTACACACTAATAGCTACTGTAGAGAAACATAGAGTGAAATGCTAAAGGTAGAGGAATAAATAAATAAAGTGAGACAAATATAAAAAGGGATGAGAAATTCCACCTGGAAAAATCGTGAGGATGGATATAATCTTGTCAAGTACAACCCTATCATTTTTTGTAGAACATTCCTCTTGCTACAGTTAAAAAAAGCAGCATAACCCACAGGGTACTCAGGTGTGCTAGTCCAGTGGTGATAATGAGTGTAAAGGACTCCATGGCTCTAGTTTGGCCATTCCAACAGATTGCAGTGTGTGTGTTTGTGTGTGTGTGCCCCTTGAGAGAAGGCAGCATTTGACAGCAGGCAGTGCCATTTGGCATAAGCCTTCACATAGATGAGAATGCAATCATTCTGGGGATTCAGGGGATGAGTCGAGAGGCTTTAGAGCAGAAACTAATAAATAAACAAGGATGCTCACGCATCACACTGGAAAAGGGCAGAGAGATAGAGAGACAAAAAAGAGAGGGAATGGTAAGCATTAGATAAACAGTGGAGGAGATTGATAGGAAGATTAAATAATGTAATGCATATTTGTATAAGTTATCATCATTTGCATCTATT